AGGATAAGCATAAAAGGTGAGCCTTAAACTAAGAAAGTAAGTAGACCAGACAATATTTCGTTTAATCAGATAATGGCAAAACTAAACGTCAAGCTAGAAGGAAAATGATAAATACCGAGAGATTTCTGGATAAAGAATCACCCCTATGTAATTTCGGATCGACGCGTATTCCCAATAAATGCAGGATGGTAGGATAGCTCCGCCATGTCTTAATTCCAAGAAAGAATTTTAATTGTGCCTTTATTTAAATATAGCTCATTTGCATTAACCCACCCCAATTCTCTAAGGAATTCATTAGTTTAACATTATCTAACATGTATGTTGCAGTATTTTCTCCTTTAAAGGTGCTGTTATTTTCTAGACCTTTCCACCAAACTAAAGCTGCGAACAATAGTCTAGGTAGAATAATTGCAGTATATAGCCATTTAGCTACCCATGGTTTGAGGCCCCATGTTTTACCGACAATTCTCCTACATTGTACCATAGATATTGTGCTGAAATAAAGGGAATAGTAACAAATTAAGGTCATTTCAAAGACTAGGCTGTTTGATGGTGACAGAAGAATTTTCAACTGCACCCACCCTAGCATTTAAAATCATAACCAATACCACACCACTACACATCGAGGCTAAGGTCAGAGCAGTAATCAGCTGCTGCAGATTAATTAGCGAAGGCAGCTGGAATCATACGTACAATAACATAGGTCACAAAATGATTAAAACCCCTTCTGGGAAAAAGTACTTTCAGGTCGTCACCCCCATGTGAATATAATTATAGTGTGGATGATGGCCATCGCAACATAGACTGCTACACAGATGGTTCACCTATCAAAGGTAAAGGGAGCGGTGCAGGAATCTACATACCTAAATTAGGAATCCGCATCTCTCTTGGCAATATCACCTCCGTTTTTCAGGCGGAAATCTGTGCCATTAATGTGTGTTGTTAACACTTATGGAAAATAAAATTAAGGGAAAAGATCAGGCTAGTCTTAGGTCAACCTCACGACTGGTGGAGGAAACTGTAGCTCTTATCAATAGGATCTCTTCCAGGTTTAAGAACAAGGTAACCCTTATTTGGATACCAGCACATAAAGGACACCATTGCAATGATGAAGCTAATAGCCTAAGAAGCTTAGCCTAAGAAGGTTCTGATACTGCGTTTGTCGGGCCACAACCGGTATTACCTCACTCTATGAGCACAGCAAAAAAGAATATTAAAAACTGGGGGTATGAAACAATTCCTTAAGGAGTGGAATCTATCCCCGGACCAAGGCAATCGAAAGAGTTAAGGTGATCAAACCAGCAGAATCGAAATGGCTATTTTCTAACTCAAGGAAGGGAATTAGGAAGCTGATAGGTATTCTGACGGGTCACTACCCACTGAGAAGACACCTCTCCGTAATGGGTATCCTACTAGATCCCTTTTGCCGTTTATGTGAATTCAAAGAAGAAAACTCGCAGAGTGTGATAGGTATGCTAGGTTTAGGTTTGAAATATTTGAAGGAGCGGACATCACCAAATCAATCACCGAGTTAAAATGGTCCAAAATCTTGGGGTTTGTGAACAAGTCCAAGAGATTTATGCAGGACACGAGAGCCAACCAAGTCCCGGACCTTTTAGGGATAGGGTATGAGTCTACCAGGCATTTTTAACCCCTCGGGTCTTGGTCGCCCACCCTGCATAATATAACATATAAGGTGCTGCTATATCATGAACAAATCATGTCAGCTTAATACACAAAAATTTATTGAAGAGGTCATTTGTATAAATGGCTAGGGGGTGGCCCAAGAACAGATCCTTGAGACATGTCTATATTTACATGTTGCAATACTGAAGATTCTACTGTTGTTGGATTTAGCATAAATCCATTCGTGGCCCGATTGAACAAATGACTTATTTCTATTATTTAATCTTTATGGAAAGTATTGGTTGGGATAAAAAAGTCAATGGCACGAGCGGGATTCGAACCAACGACCTTCGGCTAATACGCCGCTGCTCTACCACTTGAGCTATGACTTCGTGGTAGAGTCCAGTGACTTCGATCCACTCGGACACCACTTAATTGAAAGATATTATTTGGTCAAGCGGACCACGAAAACTAGTGAATTCTTAGTAAATGACCCCAGGTCCATCACTTTATATATCCAAAGATTAAATCTTTTTTATGATAGGAAAAGTTGCAGATTTCGGAAATTTGACTTTAATCCATAATTTTTTGTTAGCTTGGTAACATAATGAATTATGTTTAGATCGTCCAACAATGAATAATTAAGTAGGAGAAGGTAGGAAGTCTTCTTCAACTTAATTCTTTGTAACAATTGAACAGTTTCAAATTCTGTACTTTTAATGTTTCTTTAATTCTTTTTGAAATATTTCAACACTGCTTATTATCATTCAATTAATTAAGGTTTTTAGTTGAGATAATAAAAGTCAGTGTCACAAGCGGGATTCGAACCCACGACCTTCGGCTTGATACGCCGCTGCTCTACCACTTGAGCTGTCGTGACTTCGGTCCACTCGGACACCAACTTCCCATCTCAACCACACCTTTTGAAATCCCCCCCTCTTTGTCATTTTTTCAATCCGAATCTTCGAATCCCGCTTATGATACTGACTTTTTATCTCAACCAATACCTTAAATACAGATTAATTAATTGAAAGATATTATTTGGTCAAGTGGACGACGAAAACAAGTAAATTCTACATATGCTTTTAGTATTTGTGGTCTACTTTTTAGATAAGAAGAAAAGGATATTCCATTAGACAATCCGTTCTTTGCTAGATTCTTTATTAGAAAGGGATGTGAAACAAAACCAAAGCGCTACAAATTTTAAGAAAAAAAATTGTCTTTGTATGTCCTTCTTCAAAACATTCCAAAGTGCAATGTCAAGCATCTTGCCTAGCGTCAACCATGCCAAAAACCATGACTTTTTTATTGACTCAAAATTCTACAAAAACTGTTTTCTACAGATGGATGGATTTTACAAGAAGAAAATCTCTGTGGTAAAGCGTTTGGTGTTAAAATTTGCTAAACTCTTCTCAACTTTCGATGTCTTAAAAAATAATAAATAAATAATTATTCAGAAATCGTGAGATGCGGTCTGGTGTGATGTAGGTTTCAGAAAAATATTTTCTTTATCGTGCCAACGTTTCGATCTTTATTGAGATCATCTTCAGGGCCTGGGATTTACAAACATTGTTTAAATTTAACAAACACATGTAGGATGTGAAAAAAGTGAATTTATACAAAGTAAAATATATTTTTTTATATTCAATCAAAGTATTTCTACTCACTCAAAGTGTTTGTCTTCTGTGTAATTGTGCCATTCTTGCGTGTCGTGTTGAGAGTGCCAGTGAGGTTTTGCTTTTTATGTTTATATACGTTGGATTTTGAAGGGGTGGGGAAGGAAGTCGGTATAGAAAAGACATTTTTGTATAAGGCGTCGGCTTCTTTGAGGTGAGAAGGGCCGACGAAGGGAAACAATGTGTTCGTAATGGTTCGGCCAGATTATCAACATGTAAACAATGTTTGTAAATCCCAGGCCCTGAAGATGATCTCAATAAAGATCGAAACGTTGGCACGATAAAGAAAATGTTTTTCTGAAACCTACATCACAGCAGACCGCATCTCACGATTTCTGAATAATTATCGATTAACGATCACTAATCACCACACATAAATAAATAAATCACATTTGTGACTCCTTTTGTTCGGATTTTCGAAGTAACCCGTGAACAAACACGATCGATCCGCGCCGTCCCAAAGGCAGGTTTTGTTCAAAAAATAGATCAAATTTCCGAGTGATGTATACCCGGCTATCAGACGAGGCTTAACCGGTAATTAATCTAGATTTATGTTTCTATTACAGATTCCTTCGGCCCGCTTATAAATACAAATTGTTCCGTGGGGCTGTGGCAGGAGAAGAGTTGCCCTAATTAAGTATCGATACGGTTTTAACAGCAGATGTTTCTTATGCTAACATTTCTATAAACGCAAAACGAGCTCTTATGTATAGTTTAAAATCGTACATTGTTTGTAATGCTTTTCTAGTTTTGTAGGACGATTTCGTAATGTGTTCCTCTTTACTTAAGAACTTCTCCTGGCAATCTTAACGTCTATTTTTTTTATTATTGTGTAAAATATTGTTGCAGCAGTTTAATTGCAATGCTCTTCCACTTATACTTCTAGTAATTTTACAGTCGTCTCATGATGACGATATTCAACATGCACATTGAAATTACAAGCATAACGGCAATCGTATCTATGACGTTTAATTGTCCGCGCTTTGAAGATAAATCCAGGCAATCTTTTCTATCGGAATCACGCTGCACGGCTATTAAGGAAAAAGTGTGAAGTTGCAATAGTTTAAGTTTCGTCCATATCTGCTATACCTCTCGTAATTAGTTACTTCCCTCTGGATTATTTTATCATATATTATCTTATACAAATTTCCTGATTGAGGCCCCGTTGCACCAGTCACGGTTCAAGCCGGATTCACTGCAACGTCGAGCACAATTTGAACGAAGTTCAGAGAAGGGAGCGTTGCACCATGTGCAGGGGACCGCCGTTCAGCTGATCGCTGTTCAACCAGTCGTTGATACAACTGATTATAGCCTTTTTGTACGGTTGTAGCTATACGTCGTAGTTTTTCATTATTCGCATTGTTTGCTGTACCGCTTTCCCTAGTCTTTTTGTGTTGATTTCATTGTTTTTTTACTGTTTTTTATTTTTTCAATCTATATTCTTTATTTGTTTAACCACTTTAATTTTGTTGCTTTTATTTTGTATTTTATTTTTAGCTATTTCATTGTTTATTGAACCACTAGGTAGTAAGTTTATAGTTTTTATAGCTTTTAATTAGTTTTAGTGTAAGTAGTTTTTATTGTATTTTATTCAGTTTAAGTAGTTTTTAGAGTCTTTCAATTAGTTTTAGTTTGTAGCTTTTATCTATATCCATTGTTTGTTTCGTTGTTTGTGTTATTTCATTTATTATTTCAAAATATGTCGAACAACGGGCGGCGAATTTCACAAAAACTGAGGAGAATATTTTGTTAGACCTAGTTCGGAAATATGTCCTCATTGTGGAACACAAAAAGGCAGACGCCGTAAGTGCCAAACAAAAGGCAGACTGTTGGCAACAGATTACAGCGGAGTAATCCATAACTCTCATGGGGTTACTGCGAGAATCAGTGCCGTTTTAAAAGGAAAGTACGAAAATATTAAGAAAAGAGGAAAAAAAAACTTTCCGAAAAAAGTGCCCATATTAAAAAACTGTAGGTGGGCCACCACTTCCAGCTGACGACAGTCAGGACAAAGTATTAATGGATATACTGGGTACCCAGTTAACTGGTTTCCAAAGCCAGTACGATGATGATAAGATAAGATATTCTCTGTAACACGAAGTTCACTATATTCTTTGTCATTCTGAATCTATTGAAGAATTCATCGTTATCCCATTCGTGAAAATGTTCCTGTCTGGTTCTAAAAACCCTTTCTTTGTTTATATGTAGAGCTACTAACTCAAGGAAATCTTCATCATCTGTTAATTCCTCTAAATAACTAGGTAAAAATGCGTCCATTTCGATCTATCTCAATATACGGTTAAACAACGCGCAGGTTATATTATCAAATGAACGTTGTTCAGCTGTGAACCCTGTTTAACCCGAGCTCGACGACCGTTCAAAATTGACCGACGTTCATCACTTGATCTCGGATCAATAGAGATTGAAAAACGCCGATATTTGTGTTGAACTCCGTTCAGTACTGAACCAAGGTTAAACGAAGTTGGTGCAACGGGCCCTAAGAGAATTCTTACTTGATTAAAGACTTAATTCAGAAAAAATCATAAAATGAACTTTTAGGTACTTTTGATCTTTCAGCGTTCAGATTACAGGGGACGTAACGTCCAGGCCCCCGTTGGGTGTTGAGTACGAGGGCGTCTGAACCACTTTACATGCTTTTTCATATTATTTTTCATTAAAATTGTATCGGCTGTGACAGGATTCAGACCCGCTACCGGAAATACAAGTCGGAAGCCATAATCAGTGGCCACTTATCGTTTTTGGACACTAACGATATTTGTAAGTAGAACAATTAAGTGTGAAATTCCTCCTGCGGTCTGCGCGGTTATCATCATATATGCCCATCCTATGTTATGGCATTTCGCAATTTATTAAATAGATTTGTTTGTTCGTCTATTTCTATGTGTAAAAAATCTATTTTTGAAATCAAAGCGTTTACTGGAATTAACTAAAAAAAAGCTAGATTTGGTGCCTCAAAGACGAAGACAGACAAAGGATGGCTAAAACGTCTTGAAACAACAAGCCTACCATTGAAATTTGCGAAAATACGCGGAATCTTGTAAGAAAGAAAAGAAATAACAAGGAAAAGACAGATTGACAAACAAAATCACCAAAAATTGGCAGGTCAAAATCAAAACGAAGCTACAGTTCATCACCCAGCATACCACAATTCAATTAAATACATTGAATATTTGAAGTAGTTTCGTCGATAGAGGTGGATGATGTTCCGGGGAAGATCCGGGGTGGCCGACTCTCCATGAAGGCTAACATGTGTAACTAATTCTGAATGATAGTTATCGTCTATGACTATGATACCTACACAACTGTGCCCAACTATGTTTTGTTATGAATCGGCACAACTGAAGTTCATATGAGATGGCAGGATGAATTTGGATGAATTCAACCACGACATGCCACAAGTTCTTCTCCAGTCATCGTCTATAATGGTCTGATAAAAAAAACATCGAACGACAAAAGCGCGCAAAGCACGCCGATCTAGAAAACTAGCCGGAATAACGTGACAGGAATTGGAAGGTCAGGATGAAAATCCAAAGCGTATCTCCTGTAAGTACACTCATACCTCCTAAGATGCCCTTGCGCCTCAGGACCGAATGGAAATCATGGTTCTTTGTTAAATTGTATACGCGGAATCTTGTAAGAAAGAAAAGAAATAACAAGGAAAAAATACCGGTTTACCGACTTGACACATGCTTAAAAGCGTGGAAATAGCCGGAGCTACAAAAGGGAGAGTCGACGGTTGTGCCGCTTCGTCATAAGTAGCTCCACTTAAGTTGTATTCCACAATAAGCCTACGTACAACAATATTAAAAGTTGACACAACAATGGCAAGGAGAGCTCTCAAGACTGACAACAACCCTTCCCTCTTACGCTCGGACGGTTTATGGAGAGCAAACATACTCGAGGCCCATCAGAGTCTAACATCCATTGTTGTGATATACATCAGATGCCTACGCGCAACCCTTGCCCACTTTTGAGGAATCAAATTAGAAGTGAAAAATGCATTTCATTTTTTTCGGATCTTGATGGAATTAGAGAAACTGTACGATACTTTTTTTATTTATTCCTTTTTTCTAAATCTTTCTCGTATTCATTATAATATTTTTGCTTGGTTTATTACATATATATTCTTTCATATAGTAAAACTTTGTTTTGTAATTTTAAATGTATATAACTAATTTTTTCAGACAAAAGAGAAAACCTACCTTATTTAAATAATTTGTTCTTGTTTGTTGATATTCATTTTTCACACTAAATCCTAACTAGCTTTCGGATCGCAGTTGATAGGTTTTTGAATTATTAAATCCTATTAATAAATAAAAAAAATTTATAAATAAAACCCTTTTGCAATTCAAATTTATCCTTTTGCATTCTATTTTATCCTTTTTGCAACCCAATTTGGCCCTTTTTTAAAATTACTTTGAAATTCACTCTTTAGTAAATAATACTCTTTTGCTATACTTGCCTTAATCAGATCTCGACGACTCCTCGGCATACTTTCTACCTTTCTGGAAATGTCTCTTTGCTGAAGGTTAGCCTATTCTTCAGGAAGAGTCCTTTCAAGATCGTGGAGTGTATCAGGAAGTGATGGACGTTCTTTTGAGGTTATCCCATACATGTTCGATGGGGTTCAAGTCTGGAGAACGGGCTGGCCAGGTTAAGACGCCTCGGCATACTGTCTACCTTTCTGGAAATGTCTCTTTGCTGAAGGTTACCTTTTTCATCACGAAGAGACCTTTCAAGATCGTGGATTGTATCAGGAAGTGATGGACGTGCTCTTATTCGTTTTTTGAGGTTATCCCAAAAATGTTCGATGGGGTTCAAGTCTGGTGGGCTAAGACCCTGATGTTATGCTGTTGAAAGCACATCTGTATTTTGTGAGCGACATGTGGACGGGCATTATCGTGCATTAGAATAGAATTGTGATTTTCCAAAATTTCATCTACATAGCGAGAGGCCGTCAGAGACCCTCCACGAACAACTAACTCAGTGCGACCTACATTGAAATTCCCGCCTTCATCACCAAGCTGCGTTGAAAAGGTAGGGTCTGGGAAAAATTACAGGGTTCGTCCCTTTCATTTCGCCTTGTCCACACCCTTTCACGCCCATCTGGAGATCGTAGAGCAAATTTACACTCATCTGTAAAAAGTACAGCAGACCAATCGTACAAAGCCCAATGGCTGTGTTCTGGAGCAAATACGAGCCGTGCAACTCCGTGTGTTCTGGTCAATTCTGGTCCTCTTACGAGGCAACATGCTCTGTTCATACTGACTTACTCTTCCTCGAGCAATGCCTTCAGAAATTTGGACACCTCGAACATCCTGGAGCTGATGAATTGCTTGAACAACAGTAATGTGCCGGTTTCGCAACATTCTCAAAGTCAAAAGACGGTCATCCTGTGGTTCAGATTGATGTATTGGATCTTCTTGAGGTCATTTTACAGGTGAATAAAAACATCACTATTGGGTTTCACCAAGCTTTCGGCGAATGTTCTTCGCTGCTTAAAGCAAATAATGATCCACATTACATAGCATTTTATGAAATTTGTGGTGGTTAGTGACCGTTAATCGGTAATTATTCAGAAATCGTGAGATGCGGTATGGTGTGATGTAGGTTTCAGAAAAACATTTTATTTATCGCGCCAACGTTTCGATCTTTATTGAGATCATCTTCAGGGCTCAAAGTGTTTGTCTTCCTTTGAAAGTGTGGGCATTCTCAACATGACACGCAAGAATGGCACAATTACACAGAAGACAAACACTTTGAGCCCTGAAGATGAGCCTCAGTAAAGATCGAAACGTTGGCACGATAAAGAAAACATATCTCTGAAACCTACATCACACTAGCCCGCCTCTCACGATTTTTGAATAATTATTTTATGAAATTTACCATTTTCTCCCAAAGGAAAACTTTTCCCCACGGACTTTTGTAATTGAGGGTTACTAAATTGTTAAAAACAATACAGGTGTTTTTTTTGCATAAGTAGAAAAAAGCTTATACAGCTGTTAAATGATGTACATTTACTAATCGCGTAGGGGCGTCGAAAAGGGAAGAGAGAAGAAGCCGATATCTTCATCAAGGAACAGAAAAAGCCCGCGGTGGTTAGGAGGTAAATTAGCTTTGAAATGCTGCCTCCAACAGAGGAGGTGTGAATTATAAAGAGTATAATGACCAAAGGTGGGCCATGAGAGACAGTGAGTGATTCTTTCTCGGCGTGGTAAAAAAAGAGCGGCCCTGTTTGATGAGGTGTCAGCCGCAAGAGAGGGCCCCGGTGATCGATGAGGCGATCCTCCCGAGGAATCTTAATTAGCCAGGTGCTCTATGGGGTTATTAGCGTCAACACAAACACTACTGCGAGAGAATTAACACATTTGTCGGGACCGCGAGCGTTAGCCGTGATGGAGGGTCGGCCACCCCAGGTCTTCCCAGGAACACCGTCCACGTCTATCGTCGAAATGACTGCAAATATTCAACGTATTCAGTTGAATTGTGGTACGATGGATGATGAACTGAAGCGTCGTTTTGATTTTGACATGCCAATTTTGCTGATTTTGTTTGCCAATCTGACTTTTGACAATTTTCAATGGTAGGCTGGTTGTTTCACGACGTTTTAGCCATTCTTCTTAAAAAGTAAGAGGAATAGGTCTAGGTTTTCTTAGTCCGTCTTCGTCTTCGACGGACCGAATCTAGCTTTTTTGGTTGTTTAACTCCATTAAACTTTTTAATTTAAAAAAATAGATATTAAATTTCACTTTTTACACAGAGAAATAGACGAACAAACGAACAGATCTATTTAATGAATTGCGAAATGCCAAAACATAGCATGGGCATATATGATGATAACCACGCAGACCTCAGGAGAAATTTCACACTTTCAAATATCGTTAGTGTCCAAAAAATGTACTTTTTCCGGAAATTGTATATTTTCCACGCTTATTATTATTTTTTCTTTTTGTTTTACGAGGGTTCGCAACAGCAGAGGTCATATCAATCCTCAGCGTGCCGGTGGTTTTTACTAAAAAGCCCATTTGTAAGTATGTCGCGTTCGAATGTAGGGCCGCTGGATACGAACCCGG